GAGGGAGGGAGGGAGAGAGAGAGGGAGAGAGAGAGGGAGAGAGAGAGTTCAGGCTGGCCTTGAACTCACTATGTAGCCCAGGCTGGTGATCCTCCTGCCTCAGCCTCCCCAGTGCTGGGATGACAGCTGTGCTGACACCACTTCTGGCTGAGGTTTCCAGTCTTAAAGAGCAATCCCTTCCCAGATCTCACTCATCTCCCTCGCACTCAGGCTGCCTTGGTGAGCTTCGGAATGAGGCTGCATGTTGAAGGACCTCCCTGTAACCCTAACCCCCCAGCACCCTGTCCGGGAGGAGCTATGGATTTCTAGGAGACTTCCTGTTGCCCGTGTGAGGGAGGGTTGCCCACATCCGCGGGTGGGCGAGGCTGTGGCTTGTTGTCTGTGTTTGCCAGGCCAGTACTCCAGCTGGCACGTTCCTCTGTATGCCTCTCTCTGGTTTCTGGGTCTGTCTGGCTGTGTGCTGGGTAGTTTTCTCCTGCACTGTGAGACTTCATTTGCTGTTCCCTCTGCCTGGAATGCCCTTTGGTTCCCTTCTTTAGTCTGTAAAAATATAATAGCCAAGCTGGGCATGGTGGCATATACTTGTAATCCAAGCATTCTGGGATGCTGCGGCAGAAAGATCTTAAATTCAAGCCCAGCCTGGGCAACTTAGTGAGGTCTTGTCTCCAAATTAATATATATTAATATATATATATATAATTTGTATAAGTATACATTTTATATGTTTATTTATTTTGGTACCAGGAATCAAAGTTGGGACCTTGTGCTTGTGAGGCAGGGGTGGCACCACTGAGCTAAATCCCCAGCCCTAAAAAAATATTTTTAAAAAGGGGGCCACAGATTTAGCTCAGTGGTGCTGCTGCCTGCCTTGTAAGCACTCGGTCCCGAGTTCAATCCCCAGTACCACACACACAAAAAAAAGTTTGTTTTTTTTTTAAAAAGGGCTGGTGATGTAGCTCAGTTGGAAGGTTCTGGGTTTAATTTCCAAATTCAAAGTACTGGAAAACCTCTGTCTGTTTCTCTCTCTCTCTCTCGTTTCACCATCGTTCCGTCCCACTTCACCTGTGTAAGAGTTTCCTGTGATTGCTTTAACAAATTACACAAACTGGGTGGCTTAAAACAACAGAAATACATTCCCTGGAAATTTTGGAGGTGACCAATCTGGAATGAGTTCTGGTAGAGCCATGCTCTTTTCAGAAGTTCTGTGGAACAGCTCTCCACTGACTCTTCTAGCTTCTGGTGGCTCCAGGTGATCTTTGACCTTGGCTGCCTACCCCGTTCTGCCTGCCTCTGACTTACAGGACCTTCTCTCCTTCTTCCCCTTCACCCCATCGTACTGGGCACCGAACACAGGAACTTCCACATCCTGGCCAAGCACTCTATCATTAACCTACAGCCCTGGCCCTTTTTATTGTTTTATTTGGAGACGGGGTCTTGCTAAACTGCTGAGGCTGGACTAGAACTTGTGATCCTCCTGCTTTGGCCAAGTGCTGGTATTACAGGCAAGCACCAACACACCTGGCCCCTTTTTCTAAAAATGGCCATAGCTACAGGTTCTGGGACATAGAGGTATTGTTTTGGGGGCCACCACTGAGCTCACCACACCCTTTGTAGGGCTTTATGATCCACACCTCCTGCTGTCCGCCCAATGTATATTAATCTCACTTTTCTGTGTTCTCTTTGCCTGACCTGGCTGTGAGGATCAACAGGGTAAGAACCACTTTTATGGCGTTTGTTGCTGTATTTTACTAGTTAGTGAGTATCTGTTGCAAGAAGGAACAAGTGTGTGTTTGCTGAGCTCTCTGCTCCGTGTGTCTTGTCTGTTTCGTATCTGTGTCTGAGGCTGTCCTACCCTGGGTGGCGCCCACCACACTTCTCCGCCCACAGGTGCCCTCCAGGCTGGGTAGGTGAGAGGTGCCAGCTGGAAGACCCCTGTCACTCGGGGCCCTGTGCTGGCCGCGGTGTCTGCCAGAGCTCAGTGGTTGCAGGCACTGCCCGCTTCTCCTGCCGGTGCCCCCGGGGCTTTCGAGGTGAGGAGAGAGGGACACCTGGAGGGGAACCCAAGGCCAGCAGAGGTGTGGTCAGCCCCGAGCTCACTGTCTCCTGCGTCCTCCAGGTCCAGACTGCTCCCTGCCGGACCCCTGCCTCAGCAGCCCCTGTGCTCACGGTGCCCGCTGCTCCGTGGGTTCTGACGGCCGCTTTGTCTGCTCCTGCCCTCCTGGCTATCAGGGCCGCAGCTGCCGAAGTGATGTGGATGAGTGCCGGGTGGCCGGGCCCTGCCGCCATGGTGGCACCTGCCTCAACACGCCTGGCTCCTTCCGCTGCCAGTGCCCGGGGAGGTACACGGGGCCCCTGTGTGAGGACCCCGCAGTGCCCTGTGCTCCCTCGCCTTGCCGCAACGGGGGCACCTGTAGACAGAGTGGCGATCTCACCTATGACTGTGCCTGTCTGCCTGGTGAGTGCGCTGCCCTCTGCGGGACGTTGTGGTGCTGGGGACAGGAAGGCAGCTCCACAGTGACCGTCCCATCCCTTCCTCCCGTCCTAGGCTTTGAGGGTCAAAACTGCGAAGTGAATGTGGATGACTGTCCAGGACACCGGTGTCTCAACGGGGGAACCTGTGTGGATGGTGTCAACACCTACAACTGCCAGTGTCCCCCTGAGTGGACAGGTGGGTGTCGGGGCTGCAGCGAGCTGGGCGGCAGACCCTGGGTGCATGAGGTCACCCACCGGGTGGGTGGACTGGTACCTCTGTGTGCCACAGGCCAGTTCTGCACGGAGGATGTGGACGAGTGTCAACTGCAGCCCAATGCCTGCCACAACGGGGGCACCTGCTTCAACACGCTGGGCGGCCACAGCTGTGTATGCGTCAACGGCTGGACTGGTGAAAGCTGCAGTCAGAATATCGACGACTGTGCCACGGCTGTGTGTTTCCATGGTGCCACTTGCCACGACCGCGTGGCCTCCTTCTACTGCGCCTGCCCCATGGGCAAGACTGGTGAGCAGCTATTTTCCCTGTACGCAGCAGGGAACCACTGATGGCTCTTGAGTAGGTGAAGAGAGGCTCTGATTTTAGCATCAGTAGCTAGGTGTGGTGGTGCATGCCTGTCCTCCCAGCACTCAGGAGGCTGAGGCAGGATGATCATTGTGAATTCAAGGCAAACCTGGGCTACGTAATGAGACCCTGTCTCAAAAGAAGAAACAAAGATCATGCTGGGAGCTGTGGATGGAAGTGTGCATACCTGTCATCGCAGCTACTCAGAAAGCTGAGGCAAGAGGGTTGAAACTTTGAGCCCAGTGTGGGCAACTTACTGAGATCCTGGCCCAAAATAAAATAGAGAAGGAGGGCTGGAGATGCAGCTCAATGGTAGAGCACCTCTGACTTCTATTTTTAGTACTGGTGGGGGTGGGAGGAGGGAGGAAGAAAAGAAAGGTGGTTCTTGGGCCACGGATGTAGCTTAGTGGGTGGTGGCACAGTGCCTGCCTGGCAAGCCTGAGGCCCTGAGTTCAATTCCTGATACAAGAAAGAAAGAAAGGAAGGTGATCTGGAGCTGACGTGTAGCTCAGGGATAGAGCATGTGCTTACTAGTGCCAGGCCCTGGGTTCCATCCTCATCACTGAAGGAGGGAGGCACCAAGGGAAGGCATGCAGGAGGCTGGATTTGGGTTGAAGGGTAAGCCAGAGAGAGGCTGGGGAGGAAGCTGGCACACAGTCAAAGGCAGAAACCACTGGAGTGGGTAACTGTTGGAAGGTGTAGCCAAGAAAGAATGAGGACTTTTGGAAGTGCAAAGGTCAGAGAAGGAATGGATGAGGGAGACGTGGAAATGCAGAAAGGGTGCGGCTGGCAGCATAGTGCAAGGCCTAAGGCTTGAAGGTAGAGCCTTTTGGAATCAGGAGAGTCAGTAGGTTTTAAAACGATGTGCTTGCACCTTTTCATTTTTTTTCCCCCCAAATGGCTTAGTAAAAAGATTAACAGATTAGCAAGAGTGGAATTTGGGCAGTGGGTATACCAATGGTCGGCTTTTCTACATGTGTGAAGATTTTCATGATAAATAGATTTAAGGGGCCAGGGATGTAACTCAGTGGTTCCACCGCCTGTCTTGCAAGCACAAGGACCTGAGTTTGATCCCCGGTACCAAACAATAAATAGATTTAAAAGCTACTAAATGCACGGCAGGTTAATAAAACCAAGGGCTGGGGATTTAGCTCAGTGGTGCTGCCACCTGCCTTGTAAGCGCAAGGTCCTGAGTTCAATCCATGGCACTGCAAACAAACAAACAAACAAACAAACCGAAAACAAAGGTTTGGAAGTGCTGCTGCATGGTCTCAAGAGTGCAGGGTTCAAACCCCAGCACTACAGTCTCGCGCCCCCAAAATGCCAGGGGAGAGGAACTAGCCCTCGACCTCTGCCTGCCCTTTCTCAGGCCTTTTGTGCCACCTGGATGACGCCTGCGTCAGCAACCCGTGCCATGAGGACGCTATCTGCGACACGAACCCCGTGAACGGCAGGGCCATCTGCACTTGTCCACCTGGCTTCACCGGCGGGGCTTGTGACCAAGACGTGGACGAGTGCTCCATCGGTGAGGAGGGGCTGCCTCCCGGGAATGAGGTGAGGAAGGGGGCGGGGCTTCAGCCTGCCGTGCCCATACCTGCTGTGCCGCAATCCCACAGGGGCCAACCCGTGTGAACACCTGGGTCGTTGCGTGAACACGCAGGGCTCGTTCCTGTGCCAGTGTGGTCGCGGCTACACAGGGCCTCGCTGTGAGACTGATGTCAACGAGTGTTTGTCGGGGCCCTGCCGCAACCAGGCCACTTGCCTTGACCGCATTGGCCAGTTTACCTGTATCTGCATGGCAGGTGCGTGTCGGGCGTGTGCGTGGTGGGTCCTGAGATTGGGTGTGGTTTGGGGAGGGAGGCCCATAGGTGGGACTGGGTTTAAGGTGAGATTGTAAACCATGTGGTGGCATGCATCTGTAATCCCAGCACTCTGAGTGGCTGAGGCAGGAGGATCCAAAGTTCCAGGCCAGCCTGGCAACTAGGGACTTGGCAAGACACTGTAATCCTAGCACCTGGGAGGCTGAGGCAGGATCGCTGCAGAATCCACCTCCGTACTCCTTTGATCCCCTTCCCCACCCAGGCTTCACAGGAACTTACTGTGAGGTGGACATCGACGAGTGTCAGAGTAGTCCGTGTGTCAACGGTGGTGTCTGTAAGGACCGAGTCAATGGCTTCAGCTGTACCTGCCCCTCAGGTGAGGACCCCGGGACAGGAACCCAGAAAGGAGGGTCTGTACAGGCACTGAGGCTCCAGGGCGGGAACCTTTGAGACCGTGTTAGATGACCTATGACAAACCACATGCCACAAAGAGATTGAAATGAATTTAACATCGAGTAAATGAGATTGCCCACGCAGACACAGCTGCGTGGGGCAGGGGACTGCTGACTCTAGCCGGGCGTCCTTCCATCCCTTCCTTCCCAGGCTTCAGTGGGTCCACGTGTCAGCTCGACGTGGACGAATGCGCCAGCACTCCCTGCAAGAACGGCGCCAAGTGCGTGGACCAGCCTGACGGCTACGAGTGTCGCTGTGCTGAGGGTGAGGCTGGAACCAGTGACAGTCCAGGAAGGGCCTGGAGGCGGGGCTAGAATAGCAGAGGGCCAATCACAGGCTTGGGGAGGTCCTGGAGGCGGGCTGCAGCAAACAGCATGGCCAGTGACAGCTAGGGGTGGAGCTTATGTAAATAGAATGAGGTAATGCTAGGGGTGGGGTCAACGGGTCTGGCCAGGTACAGGGTATACAGAAATGTAGGGGGCAGGCTCAATCTCCTCTACCTTCCCCAGGTACCTCGCACGTGCCCATCTCCAATCAGGGTTGGGGCTGATAGTGTAAGGACTAGAGATGGGGCCACAGTTGGGAGTAGGATGTAATTGTGGGAGGGCCTTGGAGACGGTCTCAATGGAGGCAAGCTGGGGGCGGAGTCTGAATTGAGCCCGCCCTCTAATGACTGACTGGGCGGGGATAACAGAGTCGGGATTGGGTGGAGGCCATAGCTGTGGTTTGGCTGTGGCAAGTGGACAGAGCCTGAGGCTCTGACCCCGCAGGCTTCGAGGGCGCCCTGTGCGAGCGCAATGTAGATGACTGCTCTCCGGACCCATGCCACCATGGGCGCTGCGTGGATGGCATCGCCAGCTTCACCTGCACCTGTGCACCAGGCTATACGGGCACACGCTGCGAGAGCCAGGTGGATGAGTGCCGCAGTCAGCCCTGCCGCCATGGGGGAAAATGCCTAGACCTGGTGGACAAATACCTCTGCCGCTGTCCTCCCGGCACCACAGGTGAGGCCGAGGCTGGCCTGGGGCGGGAACTAGCTTACCTGGAAGGCCTAGAGGGTTGGGGAGTGGTGCGTGACAGTGGCGACCCTTCTCCCCCTGTTCCCTTCCCCTAGGTGTGAACTGCGAGGTTAACATTGATGATTGTTCCAGCAACCCCTGCACCTTCGGAGTCTGTCGGGATGGCATCAACCGCTATGATTGTGTCTGCCAGCCTGGCTTCACAGGTGGGCAGACAGTGACCACTGACACCTGTCCTGTAGGGTGAGGGGGAAGGCACTCACTCACCTCTGGTGGCTGGATTTTCTCCCATCTTTGCGTACACGTGTCCAGTGACATCGTCCACGTCATGCCCTGAGATTCACATTGGCGTGGCATTGGCCTCTCATAATGGCTCATGATTGTCCTGGTATAAACATGAAGCTGCCCAGACCAGAGACCGGGTTGCGTCTGAGCGGTACTAAGACGATCCTTGGTTCAAAGTGATCTGGGGCCCTGAAGCTGAGTTGAAGAGGTGGCTCTTCTGATTTGTGTAAGGCCTGGAAGGAAAGGAGGTTCTTAGCTGGGCGTGGTGGTGCACACCTGTCATCCCAGCACTCAGGAGGCTGAGGCAGGCGGATTGCCATGAGTTTGAGGCCAGCCTGGGCCAGCCTGAATTACATGGTGAAGCCCTGTTGAGAGAGACAGAGACAGAGATAGAGAGAGAGACACACAGGTTCTTGCTACCATTGCCCAGGTACTGTGCTGAACGTTGGAACGAGGTATCCTCCCATGGGTGGCTCCACCCTCCTGTCCTGGGACGAAGTTGCTTTTGTGCTTCCCAGGGCCCCTCTGCAATGTGGAGATTAATGAGTGCGCGTCCAGCCCTTGCGGCGAGGGAGGCTCCTGCTTGGATGTGGAGAACGGCTTCCGCTGCCTCTGTCCACCCGGCTCCTTGCCTCCACTCTGCCTACCCCCAAGCCATGCCTGTGCCCACGAGCCGTGCAGTCACGGCGTTTGCCATGATGCACCCAGCGGGTGAGGCCCCTCCCCAGCACCTGCCCTCCTCGCTATCTCCCTGGCCACCGGCTGCCCCTGACCACCTCCCCTGCCAGGTTCCGCTGTGTGTGCGAGCCTGGCTGGAGTGGCCCCCGCTGCAGCCAGAGCCTGGCTCGAGATGCCTGCGAATCCCAGCCTTGCCGGGGTGGTGGCACCTGCGTCAGCGACAGAATGGGCTTCCACTGCACCTGTCCCCCCGGAGTTCAGGGTGTGTGCCCCTGCCTCTCCTCCCTAGGGCTCCCTGACCTCCTTGTCCTCCCTTCCTTTCTACTTTACTCTCTTCTACATTTGTTCCTTTTCTGCTTCTCTTTTTTCACCTAAGGAGCTCCCTCAGGGAGGTGGCTATCAAGGAGGGGGACCCCAGGGAGGGAGGACATTGGAACATGATGTTCCTCGAGACAATTTCACTCTGTTGGGTAAGGTGGTACAGGCCTATAACCCCAGCACTCAGGAGGCTGAGGCAGGAGGATCACCATGAATTTGTGGCCAGCCTGGGGTACATAGTGAGTTTAGTCCAGCCTGGAAAACAGCAAGATCCTGTCTGAAAGCCCAAAAACAAACAAAAAGATGATCTCACTCTACCTGTCCCCCTCCTACAGGCCGTCAGTGTGAAGTGCCATCCCCCTGCATCCCAAATCCTTGTGAGCATGGGGGCCGCTGTGAGTCTGCCGCTGGCCAGACGATTGTCTGCTCCTGCCCTATGGGCTGGCAAGGTACACTGGTGACTGCTTCCTCCTCCTCCTCCTCTTCTTCACCTCCTCTTTACTTTGTCCCCTACTGGGTGATATTGGGAGCCCCATGGGGGACTCAGCCCAGCCTTGCCTTTGTGGGAAGCTTCCTTCTGGGGAGATAGCTGGATGTGGACACTCGCAGCTCCTCAGGGTCGGCAGTGGAGAAGAGGAACTGTTACGGCGCTGGGAATGCTAGGGCCTTGCTGAGGGTTGGGGACAGCTCCTGAGTATGCATTGCCACCCACTGAGATGGCAGAACACACGCGTGGAATGCTCAGACACAAATGGCATGTTCTTGCCTGCCTCTCGGCCTGCAGGCTCTCCCCGAGCCCCAGATGGCCGCAGACCTTGCCTTGCACCTGCTAACTCTAGCTGTGTCCTTCCTCCCCGCCCCCAGGACCACGATGCCAGCAGGATGTGGACGAGTGTGCCAGCTCTGCACCCTGTGGTCCCCATGGCACCTGTACCAACCTGGCAGGGAGTTTCAGCTGTACCTGCCACGGTGGGTACACTGGACCTTCCTGTGATCAGGACATTGACGACTGTGACCCCAGTGAGTGCCAGGGAGGCAGACGTTGGGGGAGGGGTGCTGTTCTGTTTGCTTGTATGGCTCATACTTTTCTCTTTTTTTCCTTTTCTTTTTCTCTATTCTTTTTTTTGGGGTGGGGTGGGGCTGGGGATTGAACCCAGGGCCTTTGTATTGAGTTGTATCCCCAGCTCTTTTTTATTTTTTATTTTGAGACAGGGTCTCACTAAGTTGCCCAGACTGGGCTCAAATTTGTGACCCTCCTGCCTCAGCTTCTCTTGGTGCTGAGGTTATAGGTGTGTAGCACCAAGTCTGGCAGTATATTTATGATTTAATAATGTATTTATTTAACCCAATATGTAAAGTATTATTATTTTAGGCTGGGTGCGTAGATGAATGGCAGAGCACTTGCCTATTATGTGTGAAGCCTTGGGTTCCATCCCTACTGAGATCTCCCCCCTCCACACCAATATGTAATCAACATTAAAATTAGTGTTCTTTAAAACATTTTTTTTTGAGGCAGGTTTTCACTGTGTAGTTCAGTCTGGCCTCAAACTTGTGCCACCCACCTGCCTTAGTCACCTGAGCAGTATTACAATTATTAACAAAATACTTCACTTTTTTTCCACTAAGTCTTCCGGATTTGAAATCCAGTGGGTGTCTTACATTTGCAGCACCTCAGCTGATTTCAGCGTCAGTGTCATGGATCTCAGTGACATCATGTGGCTAGTCACCACTATAGCAGCCAGAACAGCCTATACGATGCCCAGGAATCAGAGCGGGCACCACTTACACTGTGCCTGTCCCTAGCTGTCCACCAGTCGTTGGTTTCAGGACCCGTACAGATACGAAAATCTGTAGTGCTCATGTCACCTGAAGAAGTTGCACAATCTTCCTATAGACTTTAAGCGATCTCTCGATGACTTATAACCTAATGCAATGTAAATGTCGTGTAAATACTTGTTATACTGTATTGTTTATGAAAGCATGAGGGGGGAAGAGTCTGTACATGTTCAGAACAACTGCCGTTTCTTCGCTCCTTTCTCACTTTCTGTTTCTGTCTTGCACAGCGTTTTGCTCTGTACCCCAGGCTAGTCTCACACTCACTGTGTAGCCCCATCTGGCCTCAAAGTTGAGATCTTTCTGCTTCAGCCTCCTGAGTGCTGAGATTACAGGCATGTGCCACCACACCTGGCGTGATTTCTTTTTTTTCAATATTTTCCATCTACCGGTTAAAACCACAGATGCTGAACCTAAGGCTGACAGTATTTGCTTGGCAATTCAGAGGGCCTTTTTTTTCTTTTTGGAAGCAAAGCATCTATTGATACATTGTAGATATACATAATAACACTCATCATAGGGAATTTGAACCTGTACACTCTACATCTAGCTTCTTTTTTTTCCATTTCCTTTTCCCCTTTGACCCTGCTTTTCCTCCTTATTTACAAACCTTTGTTTCCATTTTTTTCCCTTCTATTCTCTCTCTCTGTTTTTGGTACCGGGGATCTAACTCAGGACCTTGGCGCTTGCAAAGGAGGCAGTGGCACCACTGAGCTAAATCCCTGGTGCTAGTCTCTTTCTTCACAGGACCTTTTTGGTCCCCCTGTTCTCTCCCCTTCCTTATAGGTGAGATTTCTAGACAAGGGAGGAGGTGGGGATAGAATTTGCATCCGCTCAGCAAATGTAGCCCCTACTGGTTGAATGCGGTTACCCTCTGTGTTCCTCTATGCGAGGGATGGCCAGGTCAGGCCAGGCTGCTGGGGAGCAAGGCGAGTGCTCAGATCTCCTCCCTTGGGACCGCAGACCCGTGCCTCAATGGCGGCTCCTGTCAGGACAGCGTGGGCTCCTTTTCCTGCTCTTGCCTTCCTGGCTTTGCTGGCCCTCACTGTGCCCAAGATGTCGATGAGTGTCTGAGCAGCCCCTGTGGCCCGGGCACCTGCACCGACCATGTGGCCTCCTTCACCTGCACCTGCCCCCCAGGCTATGGAGGCTTCCACTGCGAGAAGGACCTGCCTGACTGCAGCCCCAGGTGTGTGTGGGTCGGGGGGGGATTCAACTTGAAACCCAGGCTGTGATGCTGGGTGGGACTCAGGGGCCTGTGACTGAGTGGGGGAAGAGGGGTCCTTGGCTCGGCATCCACCGGAGGAGGCTGATGACTTGAGGGGCCACAGCACTATTTGGAGGTTACCTTGGTGACTGGTTCTTGAGGGAGGTAGGGCTCTGCCCATGGATCCCCAGTTTCCAGGCTCAGGAATGGGGTGACCTCTCTGGGGCTACAGCTTCTTGTGGGGGTTCAGATCCGGAAGCTCCCATTCTAGGAGGGACAGGGGTAATGGAGCTTAAGCCTCTTTCTCTCACGTCCCAGCTCCTGTTTCAATGGAGGAACCTGCGTGGACCGCATGAATTCCTTCAGCTGCCTGTGTCGCCCTGGCTACACTGGCGCCCACTGCCAATATGAGGCCGACCCCTGCCTCTCAAGGCCCTGTCTGAATGGGGGCATCTGCGGCGCCACGCACCCTGGATTCCACTGTACTTGCCCTGAGGGCTTCACTGGTAGCCACTGCCAGGTGGGTGGGGCCATAGGACGGGGGGAGGAGCCTGGAGGCGTTCTGGAGGTGGAGCCTCCCATGGGGGCGGAGCCATGGGTCCTATGGGAGGAATCTGGAATTATGTTGCAGGGGAGGGGCCTACCAGATTGGTGCAGTCAGAGTTCTGGAGAAGTCTGGGGGTGTGTTGGGGGAGGAGGCTGCCAGAGGGGAGGGTCACACACCTGGAGGAGGACTCTGCAGGGAAGGGACCTGTCCAGGGTGTGGCCATACTTCTGGGGAAGGAGTCTGAAGCAAGTTCCAGGGAAGGGGCCTGCCGGGTGGGCGAGGCCACGGGTACTGGAGGAGTCTGGGGGCCTGTTCTAGGGGAGAGCTTGCCACGTGGGTCGGGCCATAGTGCTGGAAGAGGGATCTGGAGCTGTGCTCCAGGGGAGGGGGCGTGTGCCTTATCTTGGGGGAGAGACAGACAGTTTCCAAGGCCTCCCCTAAGCACTGAACATGTGGGGGCTTCATTTCCAGACTGTGGTTGACTGGTGCAGCCAGACTCCCTGTCAGAATGGGGGTCGCTGTGTCCAGACCGGGGCCTATTGCCTTTGTCGCCCGGGATGGAGCGGCCGCCTCTGTGACATCCGGAGCTTACCCTGCATGGAGGCGGCAGCCCAGAGAGGTGAGGGAGGAGCACGTGGCCGTGTGTACGTGGGGTTTAGATAGGGTGTGCGCGCGCAGATCTGCTGGAGTGTGGAACGAGGGTGACACCAGAGACCACGTGGGCATGATGGGGTGTGCTCACGCATGACTGCGTGACAGCCACCTGGGGTGGTGTGTGTGTGTATGCGTCTGTCACCATGGGACGGCTGGGATGGTGTGCATGGCAGAGCTACCGTGGGTAGCTGTCTCTGTGCCTGATGCCTCTCTCGACTCTTTCCAGGCGTGCGGTTGGAACATCTGTGTCAGGCAGGCGGGCAGTGTGTGGACAAGGGCAACTCCCATTCCTGTGTGTGCCCGGAGAGTCGCACCGGCAGCCACTGTGAGCAGGAGGTGGACCCCTGCCTGGCCCAGCCCTGCCAGCACGGGGGCACCTGCCGAGGCTACATGGGGGGCTACATGTGTGAGGTATGTGTGTTCCCCTGGGAGAGGGAAGGGAACCAGCATGCCCGAGTGGATATGGGTACATATTTCTGTGTGTGTGGCTTGGTGTGGCCTCTCCTCTAGGCTTGTTACAGTCTTGCTGCTTTGGGTGCATCTCTGTGGGTGTCACTGTGGTTAGATGTGGGGGGTCTGTTTCTGTCTGGTGTTTCTGTCTGTGTGTCTCTGTGTAGCATCTCCTTGGGGATGAGCGAATGTGGCAGTGTTTGTATGTTTCTCATTGTGTGTGTCTTGGGGACGTCTGGGTGGTTTTCCTGTGTGTTTGTGAGTGTGTCCCTCTGTGCTGGGCATGCTGGTGGCCTGGGTGTGTCTTGGACACTGATTCTGTGAGTCAGATGTGTGTGTGTGTGTGTGTCCTTTTGTGCTGGGATTCTCCGTGTCTTCACAGCGGGGGCTAGGCAGGTCTGTGGTCCTTGGGGCTCAGTGGGGCCTTCTCTTGCCTCGACAGTGTCCAGCTGGCTACTCTGGTGACAACTGTGAGGATGATGTGGACGAGTGTGCTTCTCAGCCCTGCCAGCATGGGGGCTCCTGCATTGACCTCGTGGCCCGCTATCTCTGCTCCTGTCCCCCTGGGACACTGGGTAAGCCAGGGCCAGGGCTGGGGGACAAGACAGGAAGCGGAATCTGCCTGTCACCGACTTCTGACCCTGCTCCCCCAGGAGTGCTGTGTGAGATCAATGAGGATGACTGTGGCCCAGGCCCTTCCCTGGACTTGGGTCCCCGATGCCTGCACAACGGTACCTGTGTGGACCTGGTGGGTGGTTTCCACTGTAACTGCCCCCCAGGATACACGGGCCTGCACTGTGAAGCAGACATCAACGAGTGTCGCCCCGGGGCCTGCCACGCAGCACACACCCGGGATTGCCTGCAGGACCCAGGTGGACGCTTTCACTGCCTTTGCCATGCTGGCTTCACAGGTGAACAAGGAAGGTGAGGTCGGCCTGGGACCCTGCCTTTCCTTCCCACGTTGTATCTGATCCACGTGCCCCTGCTTGTCCAGGTCCCCGCTGTCAGACTGCCCTATCTCCTTGTGAGTCCCAGCCATGCCAGAATATGGGCCAGTGCCGCCCCAGCCCAGGACCCGGGGGCCTGCTGACCTTCACCTGCCACTGTGTCCGGGTAGGTGGAGTGGCGTGGGAGACAACCTCCTTGTGAAGAGGGTGTGGCCTCAGCGAGGGGTGTGGCTCTGAGGGAGAAGTGGGTGGATAAGGGTTTCCTGGGCAATGCAGAAATTACCTAGCGTTGCCAGTGTGGTGGAGAAAGGTTGGGGATTGGAGGCGTGGCCTCGCGGAGAAGGCGTGGCCTCGCGGAGAAGGCCTGGCTTCCCTAGGAAGGCGCGGCCTGGGGGGAAGGTGTGGCCTCCTGGGGAAGACGGGCTTGTCTGTCATGGCTTATGCAGCCTCTAGGGGAACCTGGAGAAACCGGACAGGAGCTGGAGGGGTCGAGGCTCCACCTCTTCCGAGTTTTGACTCCTCCGTTTCATCTCTCGGCCCCATCCTCTTCTCTACCCTCCCATTTCCGCTCTTCGTCCTCTTCCCTCCTCTTACTCCCATTTTCTCCCTCCCTCCCCCCTAGCCGTTCTGGGGTCCTCGTTGTGAGCACGTGGCGCGCACCTGCCGGGAGCTGCAGT